CACCTTCATTTACTTTACTGAATGATGACCATACCTATATGTCTTCTTAACCATTCTCAACATATGATTACTTACTGTTTAAAGTGACACACTTTTTGCTCTAAGAACATCTTATCCCCCAAACTCGTCCACAAATATTCTGGTGAATTTCAAATCTTAAATGCTTAAATTTTTCAGCTCCCAGAAAAAACTGGAAGTTTATCTTTTATAAATATGTCTCCGGTGTGGTCTTGGGATATAAGCGAGCCGGATGGTGACCAATTAGACTTGCCAAGTGTATCATTTTTAAGAGATAAGTCTCTTCACACCCATTCTTGATTTCTGCAATAAGCTGAACTCCCTGTGAACATATTCATTTTTGCTCACTTTCAATTAATTCTTCTTGTAAATAATATATCAAACTGTTGCATCAATGCTTTTTTATTGTAAAATGATATAATTGGAAGTTTTAAAGATTTTTAAAGATTTTACGACATTTAATCTCCCCCATGAAAATTAGACAGGCTTGTAAATATAGGACCTTGACTTAGAGAATAAGGTACATGTAATAAAAGTCTATATAATACATAAACTTGACCACAAATATTTAAAAACTTAGCGGTCTCTAATTTTTATATTGACCTTGCATTAACTGATCGAAAAACAGTCTGGAAATGAAGAATTGTTTATCTGGACTGAAGTAATAGATTTGACAGAAATAATCTGAACTGCCTTAACAATCATTACTGACAAAATAGTTTTGACAAAAAACAATAGTTTGGACAGAAATTGGATGGTAAAAATAACCTGATTAACATTGTACAATCCTCTAGTCCCCAGAGACCTTATACTATCATATACTTTGTGATCGTAAAGAGCAAAGTAATATTTGATAGATATGAAAAAAAATCATAAAACTGGATCATGGTGCTACAAGGATGATAATGTTGACACCATTCCTGTTCCGTGTTGGACAGACATACATCATTCCCGTGTCAGTTTGGCGTCATACATCAGGTCAGGGCTGTTTGATAATAATAGCAGGTTGTCACTGTTAATTACAAGACAATTAAACTTGGGTAAATATGTTAATGGCTTAAATTACTGTTTAAATAACAGTACCTGAAAATGACTTTCTCTCTTTAATTAATTACCTACTCGTTAGGTAACGCTTCACCTATTTACACATCTGTTAACTAGGAGATCTATATTTCCGATATTACGCTTACCTTATGTAATGCTAGTGAACGCTTTAAAACTTTTATAATTGTAATTTATTGCAACCTTTTCAACATTGGAATGGGACGACGATATATACTTTAAATTTGCAGGGAGGGGTACTTTTCCCTCGTGACTGGGACATGTCACCGAAGACACAGTGGAGGGGCATCATAACTCATCAGATAAACTACACTGACAGCTGTCCCCTGGTGTTTGCCAACACAATTTTGTCTTCTAATTTAAGATAATTAGGATCATTTTAGACATTTCACAGATGCAGATTACACAATATGTACACACAAATTTATGGATATTATTTTGTTTGTCCTGATACAATCTATTCTGACCATTGCTCACACATATTTTTGTGTATTTTGTAAGTGTCAGCCAATACTAAGAGTTTAGGAGAGCTATAAATGGTGAGCAAGGTTCTTCATAAATAACATGTTTGGCAATGTCAAACTTTACACATATATACACATGCACTGGAACATTGGAAGAACTCCAAATTATCATTGTTTCTTTCACCGGCTTAAATGTTCCTGACATGTTCATTAAAGTACTATTTTACGTGGGATGATGATGATGAAGTAAGAGGTAATAATACGTCTATTTACAGGAACATGTTTTAGATTTTAATGTAAAGAATCATCCAGTATTTGACAAGGATAACAAAACCAGATAAATTTTAATATCTTGCTGTCCTGAAAATCCATCCTTATTTGTTTACTGGTTTCTTGTCATCCGTATAAGAGATTCCTTTCTCTCATTCCTGTGTGGATATATGGCCGAGCTGTCCAGGGTAAGAAAGGTCAGGAGTAGGAAATGTCTATCTTACACCCCATTTCTTGTGTGTGATGTCAGAGCGGAAAACAATGACATAATATCACAAATTCAGGAACATTCCGATGCAGCTAGCCTGGGTTTTTTACCCAAATAAAAAATCCCATAGGTGGAATTTCCCTATCCTACACCCCAAGAATGAAAACGTCTTTCATTTTTTACTAATAGATGAATATAATTAAATCTTGATTGTTTAAGAGATTACTACAATGTCTTCAATGACTGACAATTTTTCTGCTATCACCACATTCCTAAGTGCTTTTAACTCTATAAAGAAATTTCAGAATCATAGCAGCCTCCAGTTACGTGCGTAACTGTAATTGCATGTTGAAAAATCTTAAAAACACTGTTTACTTGTTTTTGTTTTTCTCCACATTATTTTTCTATAATTAATTCATTTTTTCTCCAGCCTTGGATGATATTACTGCACACTATTATAGCTATAAATGCCACAAAAAGCACCATTTGTTACCGAGAATGGCACGCCATCAGTCATAGCTTTATGTAGACGGAGACAGGATGATGGTAAATTTCACAGATGATGAACTGATTTTTTTAGTAAATCTGAAGTTTTCTCCACAGTGGTTCCATTAGTTTGCAGGTGTCAGCAACCATAGAACGATCTTTTTTTAAATGCCCAAGATTATACACGTTTTAAAGGACTTAATATGGATATCTTTAACTGACCTCATGTTAATTAGAATAGCCAGTACGGCAAACATCTGGGAAACAATTCTATTTGTGTATGTATGATTTCTGTAGGTTTTTTAATTTCCTGAATATGTAATCCGAAAGATGCCATTTCAGTACTGATACACTGTTGTGGGATTGTACAACGTTACAAGATGTGCAGTGCATGCGCAATGCGTGCACGATGTGCGAATAATTAAAATCTGGATGATTCTTGCTTGCGCACATTTGTGTGGACGATGGACAAATGTTGTGCGATGACAATCGTGGTTGGTATAAATTGAGAAATGGCTTAACAATATATACGGCTTCGTGTTTAAACATATAAACTTCATTTTTAAGTATATGCTGATCTTTCTATATTTTCTTAAATCTAGAAAAGGTGATTTTGGTGTTTTTTAAATGACCCAAATCGACATATAAAGTAACACATATGGACATGGTAACGTATCCAGGTAAACATAGCCACTTTGTACCTAAACCTTGACCGTAGTTTTCCTCACCCAGGGCGCTTACGTAACTGGCAAAAGTGTGAAAACCAGGTGAAGGGGAGCTATATAGACCAAAACAAATGCAAATAACAAATACTTAAAGCTGACAGTGAAAGTTAAAAAGCTTTCAATTGAGATTTAAAAAAAAAGGTTATGTTTTTCTGGTTAAGAGATCTTTCCCATCTCTTCCTTCTACCGTTTCTAAACGGTATAAAAAGGGTATAAAAAGTGCATCACCTGTCTAATCGGTTACCATTTGTTCACAAGGTGCCACTATTTTACTATTTATATAGAACACTTTCACTCACAATTTTTTTTACTAACGTTTTGTATCAGATCAGTTGCATAAAATTGAAATAGAACACATTAAAGATATCATTTATCTAAGAAAAGTGGACATAGTAGTAAAATACAATCAATTAAAATATATAATNCCCCCCCCCCCCCCCCACCAAAAAAAACCCAGCCCTAAAAGAAGCAAACATACGATGAACGCACGCTAATGCCAACCTTTTAGATATCCAAATAGTGATAACCTTCTGTGTAAAAATAAAACTAATTCCAATCATTTCCATGAGAACGGTTCAATTATCAAATTCCACATTGTTGACTATACACACCTGGGAGTGTCGCATTTTGCACCTGTTTGCTAGTAAAGCATCTACACGACGAAGACTAAGAGTTCATAATGAAGTTTTTGTGTGTTGGTGCAGTTCTATGCACGAGAAAGACCGTTGTTATATATGGGATTTATAGAAGTATGTTCAGAAATATACCTTTTATTTTAGATACACAATTTTCAAGAATGTGCCATAAGTAACAACCAGCTTGGCAGTGTTTCAAAGTACTCAGTTGAGTGTGTTTGATATTTGATATCGGTTGCCGATCAGGGTGCGCGGTGCATTGAATCGCAAGACGGTCAGTTGTAGAATGATAACCGATTTGACAGGTAATGCACTTTTTATACCCAGCGGGACCCATTCACGTTCCAAGAAAGGAAAAAACTAAAATGTCTGCACTAGAAACGATAGTCGGAAGTTATGGTGAGGATCTCAAAACAAGATTTTTTTTTTATTTTCTTTTAATCTCAATTGAAAGCTATTTAGCTTGCACTGTCAGCTTCAACATCCAGTTGTGTTTTCATAACGGTCATACAATATCACATATCAGCTCTCTTTGTCAGGGCACAGGCCAGGTAACACTTTGGTCAATCATCAAAATGTTATTTACCTGTTCTGTTACCTGGGATCTAAAGCCATTCTTGATAGTCTAACAGTCACTGTAATGCTGTGTAACATGCATTGTATAATTACACATAATCCTAATTAATTTGATGAGAAATTTATTTATGCAGTGTTCCTTATTCCATTAGAGGGTTCTAGATTTTCTTCTTTCCGTAATTATAACTATATATATACTATATCAACCAATTGTACCAAATTGCACAGTTGTACGCACCATGTGTGGACGATGTGTGGAAGGTGTGTGCACAATGTGTGCATGCTATTTTTGGTGAATTGTGCGATCCCACAACTGTAGTAACTATTTATGGAATAAATATTTGTGGAAAATTTTATTTTTTATAAGAGTCTTTGAGTTTTCCTTAATGTGAAAATTATTCTCTTGTGGGAATAAAGTGATAAACAGTTCTTAGCTTCGAAACAGGAGATTATGATTCCAAAAGGGTTTACTGTTTGTTAGAAATGAAGTATTTGACATCAGCGGCTTGTGCATGAATCTTCAGGTGGACGCTTGACTGTCCGAGTAAACACTTACCTAAGTAGTTCCTACTCCTTCCCATCTCTGTGATACTGATGTTACAGGCCCCTGCAGGGATCTGTGTGATCAAGTTGTATCCACTTGGAAGATGTGTTCGAGTAAATATTCCGGATATAACCTTGCACGAGGTGTTGTCTCCATCGCACACACCACACCCATCTCGCTCCAGTCCAGATCCGACCACACCATCACAACCCGCCTTCTGTAATACAACAAAGTTTGGGTAATTTTATAAAATAATCAACATTTACAGGGACAAGTAGATCAAAGAAAGGATCCATCTTAAATCTCAAGATCTGTCTAGTTGCCTTATTAGCAGTAGCTGAAGTTTGAGACAAACATGAACATTTATAAACAGATGTAGAAAAACAAAAAACATGACTTAAAATGAAAAGACAAAGACATTTGAGAACAAGAGATATAAAAATACCGATAGGCTATAGATAAAAAACAATAAGGTATATATGATTGATAAATACCGATAGGCTATAGATGGAAGACAATAAGGTATATATGATGGATAAATTCCGATAGGCTATAGATAAAAAACCAATAAGGTATATATGATGGATAAATACCGATAGGCTATAGATAAAAAAACAATAAGGTATATATGATTGATAAATACCGATAGGCTATAGATAAAAAACAATAAGGTATATATGATGGATAAATACTGATAGGCTATAGATAGAAAACAATAAGGTATATATGATGGATAAATACGGATAGGCTATAGATAGAAAACAATAAGGTAAATATGATGGATAAATACCGATAGGCTATAGATAAAAAAAACAATAAGGTATATATGATCGATAAATACTGATAGGCTATAGATAGAAAACAATAAGGTAAATATGATGGATAAATACTGATAGGCTATAGATAAAAAAACAATAAGGTATATATGATGGATAAATACCGATAGGCTATAGATAGAAAACAATAAGGAAAATATGATGGATAAATCCTGATAGGCTATAGATAAAAATCAATAAGGTATATATGATTGATAAATACCGATAGGCTATGGATAAAAAACAATAAGGAATATATGATGGATAAATACGGATAGGCTATAGATAGAAAACAATAAGGAAAATATGATGGATAAATGTCGATAGGCTATAGATAACAAACAATAAGGTATATATTATGGATAAATACCGCTAGGCTATAGATAGAAAACAATAAGGGAAATATGATGGATAAATCCCGATAGGCTATAGATAAAAAAACAACAAGGTATATATGATGGATAAATACTGATAGGCTATAGATAGAAAACAATAAGGTATATATGATGGAGAAAAAGATGAAAGATGGACAAGACGTACAGTACTAAAGGACAATTAAGATTACTGCATGCTTTGATAGAAAGAATGTAGAAGATAGTTTGTGCTTTACATCCAAGGCTATTAGTAGGTATGTTCATTTAAGGGAGAGCCAGGTTATGACGGTGGAGGATAATCCCAGTACCCTGGGGGTCAAACCACAGACTTGTGGCAAGTACCATAAAACCCCATGTAACTTGCGCACTTTTTTTTCAGAAATTTAATACCCAAAGTGGGGGGTGCGTAAAATACACAGGTATAGAAAATTTCAATTTTTTTTCAGGAAAAGATCGACGATTCTGGGAGATCGCCATCTTGGATTATTTCCCTTGGTACACGAAACTCTAAGACAAATGACGATCAACAAATTTATTTATGTGAAACATTAATAAAAGATACATATTGTGTTGTTATGTGAGTTTATGTAAAAAGTATTATTAAATAGGTACCCGTTAACAAAAAAAGTTTAGCCAAATTCCTATGCCAGAGAATCGCCGATGAAACTTACAACATTACGTTTCGACATCTCGGTGCGTTTCCCCATACTATTACGAAAATGTAGTTGTTCAATTTAAGCTCCGTTCCATGTAAGTTCTGTAAGGTTTTTTTCAAATCGCCTATGCGTATACGTATAGCATGGTTTTTTTCCGGCCCACTTTCATGTTGATCTCGCGTCTAACATTACGTAAACACGTGATTGATAATAACCTCGTGAATTATTTCAATATTTATTAAATGAAGCATCGTAAAAATAGTCTGCGTTAACTATTTTTTTCCTTGGAGTAGATTTGAAGAGGATGTATTGATTGTCCACACTTCTAGTATAAACATGTTTTTTATAATGCCTTATCAGTCAAATCAGTCTGTACTTATGACAATGCAGTAGGGCTTCGTAATTCACGCCACGTGTTGGCGAGTGAAAAAAACAACAACACGGTCCGTCGATCGCGACTGCAAATCATTTCAATAAGTAGAGCTATTGTTAACGGGTAATCACAGAGATAGTGTTAGCTAATTACTGCATTGTAATTTGTAAAAAATATCGCCAAACCCAGACTTAGATAATCTAATTCCGTGGCCAAACTGAACTGTGACATGACCTGGTTTGAAGTGACGTAACCCAAGCCGCCATGATGAGCCCTTCTCACTGATCGTAATTATGATCAATAAAAGGTATCTAATTATGTCTTTCACCAGGAGATATGCACCAGCGGTTACTAAACATCGAATTACTTATTAATTGATATGTTTTTGTAAGCAAGTAGATGTTTTATTAAAATATTGCTAAAATGAATTGATGTATGCCGATATGCGCACACGTGTGTGCCATGTGTGATCAGATAATTCAAAAAATAATTCGAAAACAAGCAACAAAATACACATTTTACGTAGTTTCTTCTTGGTTTTAAATATCATTTTACATCAATGAAAAAAAATATCATAGAAATATATTTATTTATTTTTTATTCAGAGATCAATTTTCGGAGCATGAACATCGGGTTTTTTTCCAGATTTTTTGGGTGCGCAAAATATTCGAGTAGAAGCTTTTTTCCCGATTTTCAGCCTCAAAAAGTACCTGCGCAAATTACACAGGTGCGCAAATTACATGGGTTTTTACGGTACCTAGTGACTGTCCCATATAGGCCTCGATCCTGTGACGCAGTGTTGGAAGGCTAGTGATCATAGACGGTCAGATGTCTTAATCACTTGGCCACCACTGCCCCAGACAGAAGTTAGACATTGAAAAGCAAACGCTTTCGGGACATAAGTTTGAGACAGCCCTTTACTGTGATGGCAGCTTTGAGACAGCCCTTTACTGTGATGGCTTTTCTGTTGCAGTGAAGGATCCCTGCTAGGAAGCCTATAGAATGTGATCTGACCTTTTGACCTGCTAGCAAATTTAAAATGCTGTTTATTTCTATCTCTTTTAAATTTCGTTTAAACGGTTTTCATATATCACGAATGTCTGCATCATTTTGCAGAATGATATTAATTCTTTATCAATATGGTATAACTTCAGTTGAATGCACAGTGCAGGTATTCAAATAGACCCCTACTGTTGTATGTAATAAAATAGTTTATAGTAAACGACTATTCATCATTTAACATGCAGTACATGTACACAGGTATGTTAATAAAAGGTATGTTTACCAGTATTATACAGGTATGTAATAAAAGTATGTGTAATGGTATTAATAGGTATATATACAGGTATATATAACCAGTAATACAGTCATAAAAGCAAATAGGTAATAGCCGCAGTACAAAATTTGTCAAATTTTCGAGGCCAATCCAACCCTTTCTCAGCACAGACGCATGATCAATAACATATCAGAGCATAAAAGACTGGGGTACAGTCCCCATGAAACAATAGTACATCACAAAATACATAACAAGAACATGACTTATTACTTATATCATATGTTTATGTTAATGCATATCCGTACGGCTGGCTCTATAACTATACCAGTTATACAGTTATATATATGTACCGTAAAAACCCATGTAATTTGTGCACTTTTTTTCCAGAAATTTAATACCCAAAGTGCGTGCGTAAAAAACACAGGTATAAGAAATTTCAAGCTTTTTTAAGGAAAAGATCGGCGATTCTGGTAGACCGCCATCGTGGATTATCTCCCTTGTTTTACGGAATTCTAAGACAAATGACGATCAACAAATTTATTTATGTCAAACATTAATAAAAGATACAGTTGATAAAAAAATGTGTTGTTACCGGAGTTTATGTGAAAAGTATTATTAAATAGGTAACTGTTAACAAAGAAAGTTTAGCCAAATTCCTATGTCAGAGAATCGCCGATCAACTTAATTGCGTTTCAACAACTCGGTGCGTTTTCCCCATAAGCTTACTATTACAACAAGAGGCCCATGGGCCTTAACGGTCACCTGAGTCCTACAGTATTTATTTTTGTTGTTGAAATATGTACCAATTTGAGTAAAAAATAGTTAAGTATAATGTTAACTTAACTTTGTCAGGACCATGAGCTGATCATTCCTAGACGGATTTTAAGTGAGATCGGCCTATTAGAACTTGTTTTTAAGTTTGAAATAGGTATTTACAAAATAGCGGCCATGGCGGCCAAATTGTATTTCTGATTGACCCAAAAAATAACAACACTTTGTCAGGACCATGATTCGATCATTCCTACAAAGTTTCAGTTCAATCGGCCTAGCAGAACTTGACTTTAGGTTTGAAATAGTTTTTCAAAATGGCGGCCATGGTGGCGATATTGGATTTCTGATTGACCTGAAAAATAACAACACTTTGTCAGGACTATGAGTCGATCATTCCTACCAACTCTCAGTTCAATCGGCCCGGCAGAACTAGACTTTAAGTTTGAAATAGTTTTTCAAAATGGCGGCCGTGGCGGCCATATTGGATTTCTGATTGACCTGAAAAATAACAACACTTTGTCAGGACCATGAGGCGACCATTCCTACCAACTTTCAGTTCAATCGGCCCAGCAGAACTTGACTTTAAGTTTGAAATGTAAAATGTTAACGGACGACGGACGACGGACGACGACGGACGAAAACGGATAGCAATAGGTCACTTGAGCTAAAGCTCAGGTGACCTAAAAATGTAGTTGTTCAATTTAAGCTCCATTCCATGTAAGTTCTGTTAGGTGTTTTTTTCAAATCCCGGCTCACTTTCATGTTGATCTCGCGTCTAACATTACGTAAACACGTGATCAATAACAACCTCGTGAATTATTTCAATATTTATTAAATGAAACATCGTAAAAATAGTCTGATTTGAATTTTTCCCAATTGGAGTAGATTTGAATAGGATGTATTGATTGTCCACGCTTCTAGTATAAACATATTTTTTTATAATCCCATATCG